TTTTTTTTTAAAGACTCGAAAGGACTTGAAATTCAAAATTTCAGACTTGTGACTTTACTTGGACTTTTACACCAGTGACTTGAGACTCGACTCTGACTTGCCTGACATTACTTGAGACTTGACTTGAGACTTGACTTGAGACTTACTTGAGGATAAAGACTTGAGACTTACTTGAGACTTGCAAAACAATGACTTGGTCCCACCTCTGGATAATGGCAACAAAAGAAGCTCCTGAGTTTAGCAAGTCAAATCCAAAAAGTCATCAGAACCCCAACAATTATAAGAGCAAACAAAAGTTATCAGTAATTCACAAGCAAGCAAGAGACAGGCAGGACAGGAGGGCAACATAACAAACAATCAGGGTTACCAATTAAACACATGTGACACTAATGAGGGGGAAACAAGAGTGGGACAAGTCCAAAGATAACAATAATACAACACAGGTTCGTAGAGAGTAAAGTACCTCTTCAGAATAAGGCAGGAAGTACACATAACAAGGTACACAGATTACTAGAGCGAGACACAGACAACAAAGGGACAATTAAAAAAAAACAAAAACAACCTAAGACTGCTGAGAGAGTAAAGTTTTAGATCAAAGATCATGACAGATCATGATGGTTCCTGATCAGATGATAAGCTTATTCTTCCCTTCCTTCTCTCTCTCTTTGGTCAAGCAATCAAGTCATTTCCTAGTTTGTTCCCTTCTGGATTCCTACTTTATTATCTATGTATACTCACAGTCTTCTCTGTTTCTTATTTTAGTAAGCATGTTTTTGCAAGTACTTTATTGCTTTTTGGAGTGTTTTTGGACCTTGGCCTGTTTTTGTCCTCCTCTTAGTTTCCTGCAGACTTCATATGGGTCCTCTCCACCCGTATGCCACCACTCGGTGACTATTGAACAGTAGTAGTTATACATATTAATGGTGCTGTTTCCTGACAAAGCCAAAGGTCAGACAAGTGCTGGGAGAAAGTAAACTAAAAGGTCAAACAAGGCCGGTTTGAAAAACAACCCTTACAGTGGTAGAAGAGTGGATTACTTTTGTGTTATTATAACAAGCTGAAGAACATTTTCTTCTCTTGTGTCGATTGTATCCCAGTATAGATGATGATTATGGTGATGATGAAGGACGGCATGTTTTACAAACTGCCTCCAGGCTGAAAACAAGACCTTGAATTCCTGTGTGAAGCGCTGCTGCGCGGTGACTTACTGTTTTTAATGTGCTGCGGGGGTCGAAGCAAACGCTCGCCCGGGACACAAACATACAGCATCACATTGTGCAAACGTCTGCGGGGGACAGGATGATCTAATGTGAGACTGTGAAATGGACGAGGATGGGGGAGGAGGCAGGGGAGGTGCCGGAGTTAAAGGTGGAGCTCTTCCTTTCAAGTTGAGGTTAAAAGCCTCGGAGGCTGTGACCTTGGATTTAAAGGTTCCCGGAGGGGGGAAACTCATAAACAGGTGCTAGAACAGCTGTAATCAAACAGTAACTGGCTGCAGCGTGTCACAGGGGGAAGCGAGGGTGGAGAGGTGGATGAGGTGAGCGGTGAAGGGACAGCAGCATAATGCCGGGCGACCTCAGACCACCGTGACAGCCCACAGGGACAGCGAGATTGCATTCCTTCACGCTAATGGGCCTATTTAGCAGATGGACACAGATGGAAGTCCCTGAGAGATCGGTTTTAATGTGCTCAACAATTACTGCAACATTTATAATATGCTGCATGCTGGACTTAGAGGATTTACACATAGTGTCTGTGCAACAGTATTATAAGTCAGTATTCAGTTTCTTTAAATTTGAGTATTTAATGTCGATTTTACAATCAATAGAAGAATTAAATCTACAGAATTTAAACAGAAGTAGAGAAAACCTTCAAAAGATTTAACTCTAACCTACTGCTGGCATGTGTGATTTATAGAATTTCATATAAAAATTTTATAGCTATGAGATCAATGAGCATATATTTTATGTTTATTCTGACTTATCTTGCACACAGCCCGTTGCCGCCTGTATCTTCTAACAGTGTGAGACCTACTAAGGCCGAGCTATACAGCTTGTGTAAAGTGCTCAAAGCTCCGTGATTCTGCAGTCCAGTGCAGAAAGACAAATGAGAAATCGCCTGCATTTCTCCAGAAAAATTCTGGACAAACACTTTTTAGAGCGTCCAGCACATATTTGTGTTTCTCCAGTAGAGGTCAAAATAGCTGAATACCAACATCTTACAAGACTTGCTTCTTTTCAATTTCAGAGCAGTTGATCTACAGACATGTGAAAAGAGTTTTGACAGGAATCTCTGGAGTCCTGTCATAAACAAAGTACATCTTTACTGTCCATTTCTACTATACCTGAGCACTCAAAGCACTTTATACAACATATGTCATCCACTTAAGCACTTTGTTTCTGTCTAAATGCTTTCTATCTGTCATTCACACATCTTGGGGTTTAGTGTCTTGCCCAAAGATGCTTTGGCATTGAGCCAGGGATTAAACCACCAACCTTCTGATTAGTAGGTGCCCTGTTCTACCCCTTGACCCACATCTACCGCAAAATAAGAGGGTAAGTAACAGCCAGGCTTTTGCCAGTTTGCAGGTCTGGATGATTCAGCTGTGTCTTAACACAGTTGTGTTTTAACAGTCTTCCCAGGAGTGGCTGTCCCAGCAAATTCACCCCAAGGTCAGACTATGCAATGCTCAGAGAAACTGCAGAAAACCCAAGAGCTGCTTCTCAGACTTATTTTGCGTGATAAAATTTAGAGTTCTTGACAGTGCTGTTATAAAAAGACTGAACAAGCATAGCTGCTTTGGAGGACTGTAAAGGAAAGCCTCTTTTGTCTAAAAAGAATATGGCAGCACAGCTAGGGTTTGCAAATTTCCATCTGAATAAACTTTAAGAGTCTTCGAACAACGTCCTTGGACAGACGAGATGAACTGGAGATGTCTGGCTGTAATGCACAGAACCAAATTTGGCCACAGGACCTGGGCATCATGCAGCCAGTGAGTCATCCATGAACTCCTCTGTATACCAAAGTATTCCAGAGTCAAATGTGAGGCCATCTGTTTGACAGCTAAAGCTTGGCCGAAATTGGGTCATGCAACGGGACAATAATCCCCAACAAAGAAACAAATCTACAATAGAATGGCTGCAAAAGAACAGAATCTAACTGGGCCACTGCAACACTTTGGGTCCAGACCTCAACCCGACTTAAATGCTGTGGAGAGACATTAAGAAAGCTGCATGATGAATGCCTGCAGACCTCAATGAACTGAGGCAGTGTAAAGAATAGTGGGCCAGAATTCCTCCAAAATAACACGAGAGAATTATAAAGTCACACATTTAAAAAATAACTTTTCTAATGAAAATAGTTATTTCGCCTGACAGCACAGTATCTAAAAGACCCTCGTCAGTCCCAATTTCTTCTGGAACTGTAGATGCATTTCAATTGTCTTGTGAGCAGACTTTTAGGTATAAGTAAAATCCTGAGATTTTCATAATGCGAGACTAGTGAAACCTTCTTTCCCACCTGGTTAGAACTCTGCTGAGTGTGCTCTCACTGTTTGTTCTGTGTATAAAAAAATACCACACTCACTCAGCTCCGCAATGCTTCCCACTCGGGTCGCGAGCAGGGACTGCTCCAGGGTCCGGAGCTCGGCTTGGGTGTACCCGTGACCTTCACTGCCCCTCCCGGAGCGTTGCTGGTCCCTGTGCAGGTTCAGACTCTCCGGGAGGCTCAGCACACCTGGAGACGGCACAGAAAACAAAGGAAATTTAAAAAAAACGGCAAAACAACAACTCATACATCTTCTTCTTCTTCTGGTAATTTTCCCATCAGCTTTCTGCTGATGCCAGATTTATCACAGACAAGAAGTAACAGGGGAATGCAAACTCTAGAGAAAGACAAGAGGAGCAGCAGAAATGCAAATCAGCACTTTGAGATAAATATTCTGCACAGAACTGGGAAGCTGTGCGATTAAAACCACTTTCATGTTGCAGCCAGAGAGCAAACATTTGTCTAAATGATTAAACATGGGGACAGAGTCACGGGTTAATGGCATACTGTACGTGATGATTCTTCTTATTTGCATTGAAAACCTCACAGCTCACAAAGCTTTCTTGTTTTTACCTCAACCTTCAAACTCTAATTGAACTGAATCGTCTGTTAGCCACATTTGTTTCTTCAAGTATTCACATCTAAATCACCTTGTCGTGATCTCAGGTGTGTTTCTTTTTTTTTTTCTGCTGAAAACAAATGGTAGCAGATTACGCTCGCTAGCAAGAATTAATCCATTTAGGAGCTGTTATTGCAGCCAGGCATTGTGTAGCTGCAAAGAATGGCTTGTGACAGATTGGATATTGAGTTTTCTGCTACAATAGAATGGAAAGCAACACCACGCCGGGTGCTAATCCTAATGACACAGCACAGTGGGATATGCCATTTTTCAAAGAACAGTAATTACAACATGGAGGAATGTGGACAATTTGTCTATGTTTGATGCCGGCAGCTAAGAGAAAAAAAACCCTTGCACAGTGGACACAGTGCACCAAGTTCACGAGCTTTCTTTAGTTTTCCCTGTACAGAAAAGACCTCTCCAGACTCAGATTCCTCCCACCATCACCTCTTCCCACAGTGTCCAACCCAAGAATTCCAGTATTCCCCAGTCCCAGTCCTGCTCCTTTTTCTTCCCACAGCCTTTCCGGGGAGGTCTACATGATTTTTTTCCTAATAGCTTTTTCCATTGCTGTTTTAACCACTAAGCAGTATTAATGGAGCAGCTGGTATTAGGGTGTGTCTCGAATGGAAATCCTCAATGTTAAAACAAAAAAGCGTGGCTGGATCTGCAGCAATAAAGAATTTCTATAATCCAAAGAAATGAAAGACTCCTCTAAAATGAATGATTTGCTGAAAGCTGGCTATATGGTGAGGTGTAGTTAGCAGCTGCTTCACACTTAGCTCATTTAAAAGCTCTTTAAAATGGTTTGTTAGTACTTTTAATTTTAACTTTTAATTCTTATTCTTGTTTTTATATTTTTATGACAGTATGTTTCACTGAAGCACCGCAGCAATTTCCTAATGTTGTAAACCTGCTCAACATCTGGCAATAAACCCTTTCTGATTCTGATTCTGATTCTGATATGGTGTTCACAGTTTTAAGTGTTTGAGATCATTTTCTATGAGTGCAGATATTTAACTCACTCCTCTTTGAAGCATTTATAATTGTATTTTATCCACAACTGTCACCCTAACAGTCATTTATTTGTTGTGTATACCACTGTGAATAACTTAAGGGGAACGGTTGTCTGAAACGGTGGACCTCATTTGTAAAATTCATGACTTTGGGAAAAGCCACAAATTTAATGTAAAGAGATTACTGAGACAGAGGGGTGCCACCAGAGGAGCTCTGAAAGCAGATTTCACCCTGCCTGTTAGTTTGGCCACACACTTTTTCCTTCAGATGTGGTTGGGTAGTACATAACACAGCCAAGTCACTATACTCTCTTGTATAGTGAATCCTAATGTAGTGTCAACATTTGGCATAAAATTACCTTTGGCATAAAATTAAACATGAGATTTTATATTTTAAGTTGCTGTAGACTTGTTAACTAATGGGTGTTTATTACAGAGCTAATGGAAATGATTTATAATTGGTGAGAGTTGGGGCGAGATGTGCGATCGGTGCTGTTTCTTGTTTGGAACGACCGAAACAATTACTGAAGAAGTAGAAAATTGGGCCTTCTATGTGCACCCCTTTAACTGCTTGTTAACACAAACATCTAAACAGCCAATCACATGACAGCAACTCAGTGCATTTAGGCATGTAGACACAGTTAAGGCAACCTGCTGAAGTTAACACCAAACAGAGTGGGGAAGACTTTGAATTGAGTATTTCAGACCAGTTTTTCTACTGGTTCACTGCTTTCCACAGTCACCAGATCTCAACCCAACAGTCCATCTTTGGGATGTGGTCGAATGGAAGAATTGCATCATGGATGTGTAGCTGAAAAATCTGGAATAACTGTATAAATATGGAGCAAAATCTCTGAAGAATGTTTCCAACGTCACAAAGAATCAAAGCTGTTCTGGTGGCATTAGGTGCTCCAGTCTGGTCAAGGCTGGAGCTCAACCTAATAAAGTGTCCAGTGAACTTCAGTTAAAACGCTACCATATAAAGAAAAAGACAAGATTAGCATCTAGCTTATTATAAGTGCACACCAGAAAAACAGCATCCATGACGTTATGACAGCATACAGCGTTTAAGTGCACATGGTATGGTTAACTTTCACGTTCCTGAAGGCATCTTGCTCAGGTAAGATCCTGCTGATTTAAGCAAGCTAATGCTAAACCTTAATCACCTATTACAACAAGAGCACAGCTCTGTAATAAAGCAGTCTGTGCACTCTGTCTGCAGTCCATACCCTTCACCCATGGGTGCAATTATGAGACAAAAAGCTTGAAGTAAAACATTTTAAAACATTCTTACATTCTTTCAAAAGTACAGCAATTGTTCTCCTCACTTTCTAAACTTGTAAAGTTGGGTTTTTTTTTAATAAGAGGTGATGCAACACAGTGGTAAACATGCTCCTGTTCCAGCTTTCTGGATGATGCTGCCGCGCGGTGCTTCATTTCAAGTAATATTCTGTCCTTTTACCATTTGCACATCATTGAATTCTGTTTTAATTTACATTTTCCGTGCATTTCAGCTTTGTTGAAAACAGGGTTGCACTATAACGTTGCCTTCAATCTCAAATGATCAGATAAAAGAGGGTAAGAGATTTCATGGAGCCTCAAGGAACTGCACAGATGGACGTGCCACTAAAATGACTTTTACATACAATGAACCACCAATTGGGAAAGTAAAACCACTGACTAAAGCAGCTTAAAGTCTGCTCCATGAAGATGATAAACACATGACTGAATTTGTATCTCTAGACTGAAACTAATGAATGTTTTTCTAAGCAGAAGACATGGATCAAGAGGGATGGCTTTTATAAAGGTCTGTAAAACTGCAGAGTAAACAACATATCAGTTGAATAAAAGTGGCATAAAAACTACAGAAAAGCAGGGATTCCTCAGGCTTCTCGGAAAAGAGAAGCTGTCTGTCCTGCTCCTGTCCCAGATTGAAGCAGGGAAATCTCTTGAAAGTCCTCTAATCACTAAAAAACATATTGACATTCATGGCTTCCTGAGCTGCAGATTTTGCACTTGTGTGTGTTTTTAGGTGGAGGTATAGGTTTGAATAATTCACAGTGCCCTCTGTAATCAAGGCTTCCCATCTTCATTTTCATTTCACCCCCACCACTGCCCAAACTATTCTTTTAATAATATTACCGGGGTGCCAGGGAGTCCTTTGCTGAATTATTCATCCTGTCAGATCAAGACATATAAACAAGTCTGCAGCGCTCTCTTTCCCCACCTCCCACTCACTCTACATGTTATCTCTCACTAACACTTGGCTTCTCCAGATAGGAAAAAAAAAGTAGGAATATTTGATCCTGGGTGATGTTTGTGTAATAAACATCAGAGGTGAGAAAGAAGGCAGCCTGGCCCCTCGGAGGCGAGGAACAGGGAAGAGGATGAAGGGAAGAGGGAACGCTGACACAAGTTTGTGATTAAAAAATGACAAGCAACATTTCCATGTCACATCAACCACGTCGTTCTGTGACCTCTGAGGCAATTATATAAGTATATATATATATATATATACTTTAGAAACAGTCTAATGCCACATAAACAGCTACAACCTGCATTGCCTACTCTCTGCCTCTCTTCACGTGCCCGATGAGCAGATGAAAAGGATGCTGGGTCACGGCGACGGGACTAGTTTAAATCTCCATGTGTTGCACCGAAATCCCCTCAGTCATTCCCGTGAAAATACCACTGCTCCTCATAAATAAAATAAGTTCTCATAAATAATATAGAGAATATTGAGCTTACAACACATACAACAGCTGACAGTGTGGCAATGAAACAGGCTTCAATAACAAGCAAAAAAATAAAAGGTATTGTCTAGAACAAAGCAATTAATAAAGATTCTGCACAATTGTTATTATTCTGCTTTAACTAATATTACTTGTACTACTATACTAACTAATATTTATAGTTATCAGTGTTTTTATAACATTTGTATGGATGCATATTACTTAGAAACTATAATTCTTGTGTGCCACGTGTTGTGACGTCTGACCTCTCCTTAAAGGTTAATAGACTTATCTGAAGGTCAAAGTAGCACTAACACTATATATACAGTAGCTTTTAAGACGGCGTTTCTTAATACCATGCTTTTATTGAGAACATATAGACATATAGAGAATAATCTATGGGGATTCTAAAAATCATGGTACTTTGGACCTATGACCTTTTCTTCAAGGTCAAATAAGGTCAAACTTAAAACTATGATTAAAATTCTTCTGCCTTTGTTTCTACTGGCAACACTTAGTGAATGATACTGGTATATGGGGGTATCATATTATGTGATTACACACACACACACACACACACACACACACACACACACACACACACACACACACACACACACAAAATGTGTGTAATCAAGTCAAAACATCTGTCAAGCTACACGTTTATGACCTCCACAGCACTACAAAGAGAAACAAAAAAAAGAAAATTAAACTAATGTATACTTCGGACTGTGGGAGGAAGTGACCAACCCTAAAGAGTTAGTCAAACATTCAAGCTCCATACAGAAACGTCCCCAGGAACCTTCTTGTTTCCACCCATGA